CCCCAAAACCCCAAAACCCCAAAACCCCAAAACCCCAAGTTTTAGTTCTGAAGTTGAAATAATATTTGAAAATGGACCAACAAGAAGTTATTAAGGTGCAGGCCCCTGACTCTTCAGGGTCTTGGGATGGACACCATCCTTATTTGACAAAAGAAGAACAAGAAAAAAGTGGTAAGCTAGTAACTGATCTTCTGTAGAAACTGGTGTTGGTAGAGAAAGGTCTAGAAGCAAAGAGGAAGGAGAGGACTCTAAAAAGGTTCATACTCCAGCAGCAGATAAAGAGAGCTTTGTACAAGAATATAAGGATCAAGTTTATCAAGATAACCTTACTTCTCATGTGGTATAGATGTTTATTCATTTTTAGGGCAATGAACTTGCATTAAATGAGAAAAGTAGGTCTGTTGTGTCAGACATGAAATCTGAAGGCAGGAGCTCTAAGAAATCTAATAGAGGAACCAAAGAAAAAATATCTTCTCTCCCTCTCGAGCTCTATCAGAGAAAAGCTATCTCCAAGCCAGTAAGAGGGAGAGGACAAATAGTAGACCAAAAATCCAAAGGATACAGAAATAAATAAAAATTCTCAAGTATGTAGATGTATATGGGCCAATTAAGTTTCTTGATAATGCTAAAGTGCCAAGTCTTACTTTATATAGTCGGTCTCAGTATCTGAAGACAACCATGAGTCGGAGATTAAGAATACTGATTCAGAACCAACCAAAGAAATTAAGGATACAGAACCTATCCCAAGTCCTCCAAAGCCAACCCCTTCTAAGGTTGAAGAGGATACCTCTGGTTTGAAGGAGAAAAGTATCTATTCAGGGAATGAAATAGTGAATATTGAGACAAACAAACAGAGTAATATTATAGTGACATCCAATCAAGCTAGATCACCGAAGAAGAGTAAGCCCACGCATTGAAAATATCCAAACTTTTCGAATCCTTTCCTTTAAAACATTCTCATTAGGTTTAGTGGAAAAATTTGGCTTTAAAAAGGGCAAAAAGCTGAGAAAAGGCATGCTATTGCAGAAATATATCCAAACTTCCAGAAGTAAGACCAAGAAACCTAGGAAGGTAGCTACTAAGGCATAACTAGTTTAGGAGTTTAATTTGAGAACAGTTATGAAAAACCCTAATAAGTATCATCATGTGAAGTCAATCCATTTTATGAGTGAGTCTCCGAAGAGAGCTATCCAGAATGATTCTGATATAAGAATGCCATTTATCTCAAAAACTGAAATGATGAAAAACTCTAAGCTTGAGAAGAAGTGGAAGAGTCACTTCTCTGGTACAGAAACGTGAGTTTAGTTGTTTATTAGATCTAGGCACAGAGTGATACAAAGTAGCTCAGGTCTGACTTATAATAAGGTTCCTCTTCCTGAGATTTGGGGAGGTACAGAATATTTTACAAAGAAAGGATCGCTTAATAATGTGAGATCTAGACAAGCTAATCAAGTTGAAAACCAATTTAAGTCTTTAACCTCAACAGAATATCTCAAGAAATTCCAAAATCAACAATTTGGAAAGATTTCTGAGTATGGCCAGACTCCTAATGAAATCTTTGCATCATTTTTGAGGTCTCCTGATTTTACCAAACAGAAGAGAAATAATTCATTGAAGAACACCAAATCGAAAAATGTAGACCTACTTTTATCTCAGTCTAAAAATATGAAGAAGATGGAAAAGAGATGGAACCAACGCTTTGCTCTACCTATTTCAGAGTACAACGAAAAGGTTTTCAAAAAATATAGGTTACTATTTGATAAAGTGTAATAAATTTGACTCAAACCCATTATAAATCCAATATTCCTTCAACCTATATACTCTTCTCGGGGTTTTGGGGTTTTGGGGTTTTGGGGTTTTGGGGTTTTGGGG